CGTGGTGAAGCAATGGCTGTGAGGCCTTGGTATACAGGTGTAGTTGGCGTTCCTTTCAGCCAGCAATTGGACAGTGGTGGCCATCTAGGCGCTTTCCGCTGGTAGAGTAGCTAGAGTAGAGTAGCTAGAGTAGAGTAGCTAGAGTAGATAGAGCGAATAGACTCCTATTGGCCTAGATGATGCAGCCTATAATACAGCCTTTCCGTTTTGTGATGCATACTCTCCATTTTACGCAGTCGACACGGAGGCAAGCGGGTGAGTTTGATTGGTGGAACAATATTTATACGGGCCGGAGCTAGGCCTAATATAGGGGGGGTGACACGCAGAGAAAAGGGGGGTGATACGCAAAGAAAGGGGGGGTGATAACTAAGGTGCTCTATTAAATTTTATATATTTATAGACTAATACTTAAGTATTTTGCTACTATATCCACGCACACCGCGATACTAGCCTAAATAAGCGCTAGCGAAGACCTAGCTTTTAGGGCAGAGCGCGTTAGTAGATTAAATATATATTCCCTCGCGTTAGGCGAATAAACCACTTTTAGCCCGCCTTGCAGCTAAGTTAGTAGTTAAGCCGGCGCGGGTGCCTTAATACCGCGCTGCGACGCCGCGCCGTTTAAACTGTCCGTTGCGCGAAACCGTTATAATACTTTAAAACTTATTACCTTCTATTATAACTAAACTACTTAATAGGCTTCTAGGCGATCCGCTAAATAGGGTGGCTGCTACTATATTACTAATTAGCTTAATTTAGTATTAGTTAAGGGCTAGATTATAGAGTAGCTTAAGGTGCATATTAATAGCATTTATAATAACCCTAGCTTACCGGTTTACTAAAGGCCTTAGCTTATTAGGCTGCAGTATTTTAGGAGATAAAACTACAACTTTTGCCTAGTAAGTTAAAGACTTAAACTTATTAGGTGTTATAACAACAATATATTAGATATAAACGCGAGATAAATAAGTATTAGATTTAATTAATAATAGCTACGTATAGCTGTGTAATAAATTAAGAGAATTAGTAAAGAGCAGAAGCAGGGGCAGAGGCAGGTCTATATACAGGACGGGCCGCGAGCTAGGGCTAGCAGGGCCAGGGGCAAGCTACGCCACGGCGTAGCGCATATAACGGGCAATACCGTTATATTAGGCCGGAAAGTTATCTGCGAACGCTGCGTCGCTTACTATAGTAGAGAGCTAGCTTTAGTCCACGCTGCTAAGGGCGTTTCTATTAGGGAGATTAGAGCGTTAAATATTTAAGTGCATTTTCTTAAAGCGGCGTTGCTATATACAACTGTTTTTATCTAAATTACGCTGCTAATATATTAGCGTTTTACTAATCTAATACTATAAGAATTATATTCTATAGCTACTCCTAAATCTAGTAATAACTGCAGTAGCGTTCTAGATTTTTAGCTAAGTATTGGTATTATATAGGGGGCCACTAATCGCACACCCCCTTTTTACTAATCGCACACCCCTTTTTTACTAATCGCACACCTTCTTCCCCCTTTGTCGCTTTACCACCTTCTAATTGGCTCGGAGGGCAGCTCCGGAGCCTCCGATTCGCTCGTTAAGCTCGCTCGCTAATTCTAAGTGCTTTCTCCAAATGCAGCGTGTATATAAGCAATTATATTCTTATCCTCCACCTCTATAATACACTCGCTATAGCCCTCTAGCCGCCACCGACACGATCCTACAATACTATAGAGGAAGCCGAGGAAGCGCTTACAAAGCATATAAAGGCACAAGGCTACGGGCTTGTAAAGTACCGCTCTAAAAGTAATAAGAAAGCAAAGGAAACGAGGAAAATATAGTTTAAATACTGCTTTAATAGCAATCTAGATTCTACTATATATATACGCTATATAGCTACTAAAAAAGGAGATTATATAATATATAGTACGCTTACTTAGCAGCCTTCTAACTATAATAATAAACGTCTATAGCTATAGAAGATAGAGAAGGCGGCTTATAATAACTATTATTCTATGCTTAAACCTACGGCAGCTATATATAATAGAAAGCACTTAGCCTTAATAAATTGCCTTATTTAAATAGATATATCCAGCGGAATAAAGCCTAATAAGATATATATAAAGCTATTAAAAAAGGGGGTTACTATTACTGTGCAGAATATTAGGAATAAGTAAACATAGTACTGTAAGGAGCTTTTTAGTAGCCTTACACCTATATAAGCTCTTTTTAGTATACTAGAAACATCTATATTCCCTTTACTTAACGGCTAAAAAAGGAAGTATATTGTTACAACCCGTAATACGAACAACCCGAGCGCAGAGGCACTCGCGGAGACAAGCAAGCAGATAAGACTGATTACGCAGAACCAGGTCACGGGACTAAGAGGGTCACGTGTAGGACGCATAGGGATCCTGGATTCCCCCACGGACTGCTGGTGGATGGGAACGATCTAAGAATAGGACATCACGAGGACAGGGTCACGTGATGGCTCGCCAGGCTCGCGGAGGGAAGTAAGCATAGAGCCGTACGAGCGCTCGTCGAGCTCGAGACGCTCGAGGGCTGCGAGCCCTGAAAGCCAGGTGAGCAAAGAGGTTTCTTAGGACGGAGCTTTCATATATAAGGACGCTCCTTTTCATAGATAGGAACCTCGTGTTCAACTTAAGACTTTAATACTACCTATTGGAAGTAACAACCCCGTCTTAGACCTTGATTGATTATTGCCTCACCTTTTGAAGACTATTGCACCCCGACGACGACTTGCCTATACCCTGCCTTAGTGTGAGACACTTAGAAGGTATAGAAGAGACGACCCGTTACATATATATATAGCTATATAAAGGACTAGAAAAACTAGATTAATTACCTTTTCTTTACTTATCTAGATTCTATTAAGATTTTATAGTCTAACTATAATATTATACTATTAGACTACACCTATAAAACTAATAGATTTAGTATACTATTTTTATATATAACTAGTGTTATATATATATATAATAACTTTAAAATTGGCTATTATTTTATTCTAAGAAAAAAGAAGGTAAACTATAACTAGGCAGTATAGCAGCTTTTTAAGCTCTTTTAATACTATTCTATTATACTACGTATTTTCCTAATAGATAAGGAATAAGCTCTAAAAAACGCACTATATTAATAGTAGCCTACTGTCCTGCGCTTTTTATATATATTGTTACGGTAACCACCTGTAATACTTTACCTACTATAATTCGCCGATTACGTGTCTAGTCTAGCTCCTAGTCTAGATTATATCCTAGAACGTAGCCTAGATTACGTGACCTAGTCTAGGTTGTAGTCTAGGTTATAGACTAGATTACGTAGCGTTGTTACCTAATCTCGCATGGAGCTCGCGAGCTTATGCTATACACACGTTCCGCCGGCATATCTTCTCCGCCGGCGCTCTCGATTTCCTATTCCTTATATAACGTCTTAATTCCCTATATAGTAACGTATTTAGCATCTAATTAAAGCTTCCTCCTAAGCTCTTAAACTCCTGCTTATAGCACCACCGTAATATTATATTATGTTAACCTTTACCCTTATAATAACCCCGAACGACCTAACCGCTATATTTCTAGAGCTGGTTACCTCTATAAAGGAACAGCTTGCCGCAGTATAATCCTTATTCGCAGGAGCCCTATAAAACTAATAATCTGCCTTTATAAAAGAGATAGCAGCGTTATAAAAGGAAATTTCAACAATTCGGGAACACTGTTATAAATTAAATAATAGCTTAAAGCCTGTTGCTCCTATAAACTATACACGGACGCTAACTATTAAGGTCACGCCCCCTCCTTCCTTTAATACCTTTCCAACGCGTCCTAATACGTGTACTATAAAATCCGACCGCCTACCTAACCCTCTAATATTTAATAGACGCCGCAAGGATCTCCCTATTTTTATCTAGAAACTCTAGTATAAACTAAAATAGAATGCAGACTAATACCCTACTAAATAAGCCCGGCTGCTCTATACCTATTTTTAACTTAAACGCAACCTGTTAATATTAGTGGCTCCTTTAATAGATTAAGATATATATACTATTAAGCTACTTATCTAATTCCTACAGGCTATATACAGCAACCTAAATAAGAAACTTATAGCTCTAAGCAGGTTATATTTATTAAAATAAGAAAAGCGGAGTTTTATATTATACTTTGCCAAATTCTAACGCCTTATAGCTAATACAGGTTTAAATAAAATTGGCCTAATAACCCAACTCCGGCATTTACTCTCTAATAAACTCTGTTAAGCTATAGTTAGCGTTGCTATCCCGGACAACTTAAATAGCTACGCCAACCTTATCTTAGCATATAATAATAATCTTCAATTCCTTCTAACTAACCGCTCTTCCCGATATTAAGCCCCGACTCGGAAGAACCCAGACGCAATAGAAATCGACGCATCTAATTATGCGCCGGTTGGATCTGCTAAATAAAAGGAATACCGCCGAAAGGGGCTCTGCTATAAGTGCCGCAAGTATAGCTATATCTCCTGTAACTGCTCTATACCGCTGCTATAAGTCCAATCCTCTAGCCTAGATAGGCCTGTAAGCTCTTATATATATATATAAGCTATAAGTCCTCCTTAATTTTTACCTGTCCGCCGTTTATCTATATCTATAAACTTGTCCTCTAGCTCTAATTATTCTAAAGGAAGATGCTAGTCCCGCATAAAGAAGCTATTAAAAGCCCGGTCCCGGGCTTAAGTCGCCTCCCGGGACTATTCTAACCCCGGATTTCTATAAACCTGTTTAAAGAACCTATAGCTAACTTCTAGAAATAATAGATTTTTACCCTATTCTCCCTGCAGTAAGGTTCTATATAACTAGATACCTAAGCCCTAATTAACAGCGGAGCTATAGGTATAGGTTATATTTACAGATCTCTAGCGCGCGTATAAAACCTTTATCTTAAACTGCTACTAATTATTTTACGCCTAACTAGATTTAACAGAAAATAACTAAAAGAAGAAAGGATTACGCACTCTATACGTGTAACCCTCCGCCACCTAAACTATATAAAACCGATCCGCCTCTATATACTAAAGATTGGAAAATATAACCTAATACTAGGACAGCTATAGCTGTATAAGCACCGCGTTGGAATTAATTATAATAACTAACGGCTGCTCTTCCGCTCCTCCTATTGCCAGGCTTATTACCTGTATAAACCTGCTAATATATTCTAATATAATAATAATAAGAACCCTGGCTAGAAGGCTTATAGTAAAGCCTCTTACTTAATAACTAAACACTTCCGTTTTTAACAGTCGAGCCTGCGTATATAACACCGACACAACTACTAGCTTCCTAAGATAAACCGCCAGCTAAATAAACCCGAACCTAAACCTAAACCTAAATTAGAATTAGAACCTAATATAGAACCCGATGCAGAGCTAGATATCTAT